TTTTTTCTATCCCTTCTATTTCATATTTCAGTATGTTTTATTTTGTGAGGGAGCACTTAATGATAAATTATGACATTAGTATAAGGCTACTCTAATGTTTAAATGAAACCTAAATGCTTTTTCATTCATGGTTCCCACTTTGGGTAGAAGACTGATGTTTTCATGTTTAGTTTTGTTGTGATAAATCGGAAGAAGAAACTATTTTGATGGTTGAGTGAGCATAAAAGTATTGATAATCACAAAGTTAATATGTTTGACCAGAATAAAACCATAGTATCTAAAATATAATTTGTTCACAAAGATTTGGTAAGTTTTTGCTTGTTAATAATATTTTTATCATATATGCCATTTTGTGTTTGGCACTGTGAGTGATAAAAAATAGTGTGATTTGGTGTTTGACTAAAAGATGAGTAAAAGATATAAAAACAAAACAGACATACAAATCATTAATTTAGCAACTGTTTTGTGGTGCTGGTCATGCAACTAGAAATTTAGACAAGTGTGATCAATGTAGGCTAATTTGCTGGAAAAGTTTTTTTTGGTAACTAAAATTATCATCATAATTTTGTTGAGCAGTTCATTTGTCAGATACCTGATTTAATTTAATCACCATAATATATGTATAAGACAGGAATTAATATTTACATTTAGGTGAAGAAGTGAAATTTCAAATGTCTAACTTACTGAATCTCTAACGACATGGGAGAGGCTATATGTGGCACAAGCCCATCTAGCCAAAAGCCACACTCTTAAACATATACAGACATAGAAAATTTCAATTGTGAATTGTTATCTGAAATTGCAAAATTCTGCTTTGTGTCCTTAATGATAACTTGAGAAACTAGGAGCCTCTTCTGCTGTTATCAAACTATTGTACATGAAGAAATATATACAGAAATTGTTGAAAAGGAAAGAACAAAATCATATATTTGAAGAGATTAATAGCATTAAAGGCACTAAGTTAAAAGAGAGCTATGGGATACGTTATAGTGAAAAGTTGAATGACTAAACAGTAAAGATTTTTGGATAACAAAATCTGTTACTAATAATATAGTATTTTTATGTTGAATACAGATATTGTGTTAAACCAGATAATGCATACAGGGCAGACAAAGGAAAGGGTCTTAACTTTCCAAGAATACATGTGGCAAACTGGAAACATTATTTGACTGATTAGATGTTGGTAAAGCTTGAACTTCCTAGAGGGTATAGTGGGGTCAGATACAGATAAGCGGCAAATATCTTTGTGGAACAGTACTGCTATATTATAAAAAGTTTTCTACACAGAGCTGAAATCAGCTAGGAACCAAACTATCACTCTAGCCATAAAAGGGTTGCTACTGTGTTAATGAATTTAGAATATGCAAGACATGCCAAGTGACATGACTAGTCTCTTCATGGCACAAAAATTTACCTAATGTAACAAGTACAAAGCATATAATCAGCACAGGCAATTTGAACCTAGTTATCAAAAGGCTTTAAGAATATCTTCAAAATTTGTAACTCATATGGCTCATTATTTTGATTTTATAAATTTCCACACAGCTTCTTTCATTGTTATAAACAAAGTTTCCTATGCTTATGTTAGAATCATAATATATCTCTTGGGTCTTTGGAAGTGATATATTAGATGGATATTGGCATGGATGTGTCTTTAGAACACAACTTTGGAAGTAATATATTAGATGGATATTGGCATGGATGTGTCTTTAGAACACAACTTTAAAGAAGGCACAGGTACATCACACTGAAAAAGTTAAAATGTTTTGCAGATTTGTGAAGCTGGAAATCATTTCATCAATGTATTGTTGGCCCATCCAAATCACACAGGTTAGTCCCTTTTCCTTTTTATCTTATCCAGAGTGAAATATGTTAATTATTATTTTAATCAATAAGTTTTTAAAGCAATAGTTGGAAACATTTAAGACAGTATGCCTCAATTATTGCTTTTCTGTGCTTAAATTTTCCAAATACTTTATCTAAATCCTATTTTCTAATAATGATTTCTCCAAAGTGAAGTGTGCATATCCCCCCACCAACACACATCACTCACTTAAACATGTGAAAAAGAGATGACTAAAAAGTAAAGCAGGATGAAATTCTCTGATGAATATCCAAATTTTCTAACATAATTCTCAATCTTCATCTAATTTGCAAAATAATTGACACAATACCATTATATTCAAATGACTTAAGTTTTTTTAATAGAAGTGATCTTTGACAAATTCAATGACACTGAAATAGCAGTGTTTGGGGGTATACGTCAAACTTAATAGTTAAAAATATTTGGAAAAATTTTATAGTGTCCATGTAATTTAAAGATATTTTTGGTAAATCAATCATCTCATTCAGGTTCAGTTATAGCTAGGTATTTACACTGCTTTTGTACATGACATGTCATTATAATTTCAAATATTGATGGTCAACGTTTAGACTTCCTGTTGCAATCAATCTAGCTGCAAACATACAGGTATATTTGTCTCTTCAAGTGTTTTTTAACATCTACCTGAATTTCTTAATATGTTCTTGCCTTGCACATTTCTGGCAGGCTGGTGAAGCATATGAAACACTTTTCAGAATAATTTTTACATGTAATAAAATACATAGTATTACAAAGGAAATTTATGTTGGAATATTTGTGTGCATATAAAAAAGCTTTAAAATCTTCTATAATAATAGGATTTTATGACATTACTGTGATAACTACTTAACTTTGAGTATTGATGACCATAAATTATATGCATATGTAATTACAAATATATAGATAAATAAAACAACTCTAATATGATTTGAAAGTATCTGTACTTTCTCTTGCTGAAAAAAATGTTAACAGATTAGTGCAAATGCTATTGCAGTTTATTGTTTGATTTTGTTTTGAAGTAAAGTCTACATTTCATTAAGAGGCTGGTTGCCATTTGTATGTGACCCAAATTTATAGACCTACTGAATTCTCTTTGTAGGTGTGTTAAGCCCCGATTAAAAACTTGTATTTCTTTTAGGGTAGAGGCAAAACATAATAAAATCCTATTAAAATGCTAACATTGCTAAAGCTTCAAATGTTGCAAATGTTAGTCTTGACTGTGACCCTCTAACAATATGACCTTGCTCGTTTCCTCACATATCTGGAATATGGTGGTATTATTTGAAAATGAAAATTTTAAGTCATTATGTTTTCAAAGTCAGACATAACTTTGAAATTATTAATGTGAGAGAGACTTTTCTTTTACTGTTTATTCTTGAGAAATCAGATGCCTGCCTAATCTCTCCTTTGTTAATTGACTTGGTTGTTTTGCCTTCAGACTCAGAAAGTTTTTTCTTGAGCACTAAAGCCTATTAATTTTTTAGGGTGGATCTTAGAGTTGATAACTCCAGGTGTGTTTTCCTAGGGACATGACACGATGACATGATCTAACCTTGTGGTATGTTGATTCATGTCCTTTTTTTCAGTCCCAGAAAGTTTTCTTGTAGTTTAAAATTCCTTCATTGAGTTTTTTGATTTCTTAATGGTTATGTGTGATTTATTTACAAGTACTTCTGTGTATATGTGTTCTGTTAAAATATTTTTATGTTTTCTTTTTTGGAGTGTTATTTTTATCAGCAGGGGAAAATAAAGAAAATTCTTACTTTCTATTTTATTTACATGGAAGCCTTATATGAATGCTGATTAACTTACATTCATTTTTAAGTGTATGGACTGTCCTTGAACGGAAAGAAATAATTTTACAGATGGAGTGGTGAAAGTTAAATCTCTAAAGAATGAAGTGTTCTCTGGAAGGGATGGGGAGTTTATTTTATCGTGACTTTTAATTCTCTAAACACACTTTTGTTTTCTAAATTCCATAATTCCCAGAACTATGCCCTTCTTTCCTTCTCCTCTAAGCCTCCAATAAATCTCTTCCTTATTTTAGCTGCTTTCCTGTACTACTTATTTCCTCTCATGCAAGCAGTGCCTTCCAAGATGAAAACCTTCCAAATGATTTCACTTCAGTTCTTCACATCCAGTGTTCTGATACATCAGGTCTCAGACCTTTTCTCAGAGTAGACCCTTTCTTACGACCATCAGTTCTAGATATCTACATACACATGGCATTCTTTTTCCTTACATAAAATCATTATCCATCTATGAGTTACTTACTGTTGGCTCTAAATGAGTCTTTGCTGCTCTTGGATTTTTATTTCTCCACTTACATATTAATTGAACTTTGTAGTAATATCTGTCTCTTATATGTATTTTAGGCATGAATTATGAATAGGGTGATCATTTAATATTGATTGTTTAAACAGATGTCTCTGAATATGTTCCCCAGGAGACACAATTTGATATAAGTTTAAAAGAATTTGGATCTCCCTGGGAAGGGTGAATGACCTAAGATGAGGTAGCTCTCTTTAGTCAAGGTCATCCTTTCACAGGGTCTGATAATTGAAAGCTTTCTGCTACCAGCACTCTCAGTACTTATGGAAAAAATACACCATTTCTGAAGGGTATCTGGGAACATTAATACAGCAGCCATCACAGAATATTCAGCAGGTCATTCAACTCTAAAATAACATTCCATATCCATTGTTGATGCCATTTCTGGTGGCAACTACTGTAGGTTCAGTTTTCAAGGATACAGAGGTTGAGATGGAGATTAGCATTCAGAAGGCTTGCTAGAGAGCAATTCTATGAATGGGAAGAAGGAAATCATGTTTGGGTAGGAAATTGAGAGTAATACAGTTCCAGTGAGAGTCTCAGATGAACCTATGCATATTCCAAAGTTGGGATGAATTACCATTGTTTTTCTGAGTTAAGTAATTCAATTTGCCATATTGATCAAATATTGAATTAAGGCTACACCCAAAAGTGAGTGTGACCTTGGGAAAGGTTGCTCCCTCTAGCCAGGCAATCTTCATAGAGGATGCTGAAAGGTGAAGGCTCGCTGACAGCAGTAACCCTTGAAACTGTGGAATAAACTGTTTATGCCTAAAAAATAATCTGATTGGTGCAGCAATGCACTGTAAAAATACCTTCAGGCTTTTATTTAATAGAAACTCTATTATAAATAGGATAGGTTGAGAAAACATATGGGAATATAAGTATTAAATTACTAACACCTAAACTTACATATGATTACAATTAACAGCAACTATGTACACTTGAGACAATATCTGTATAAATACATTTTTCTGTGCCCACAAGACATGTTTGTTATTTAATTTACAAACTACCTCTTGAAGAAATGTGTATTTATGAACTCCTGATCATTCTACTGTATCCAGAGGCTAAACAGTCATAAACTAGAGGCTTTCATGCAGATTATTTTTTATGCATCTTCCACCTCTGAAGTTCAGTTACTGTAATATGGGTAGATTCCTCAGTTATCTTTCTTTTGATGAATATATAGACATTGAACAAAAGTGTTTACGTAAATGTTTCCAAGACAATCTGTATGTGTGTATTTATCCTATCTTGCAGTGAATAGTGCATGAAAACTGCACAGTACCTAGTATTTTTTTCTTTGATATTTTAACAATCATTACAATTTTGAAAAAAATATACTGACATTTCATTAACACTTTAGAATTATAACTTAAATAGATTAGTTCATGTGTTACCTGATTAAATCCTCCTATGCAGAATAAACAATTTTATAATTCATATTTACTTGTAGATATGTCACAGCTCAAAGTTCGACCTGAAATAATTATAAATTGTTTTCTAAAATGTTTCTTCAAAAAATCTGAAAGGCAAAAAATAACAAGACTCAAGTGATAATCTGCTAAGTATAATGAGAGTTATAAATAACAATCCTGATTGCTGAGCAGAAATAATTTATGTGGAATTTTTGAATATTAACTGTACTGATATTCACTTTAATCCCCTTATGAGAGATTTTCAGACTTTTCGGATATAGATGACATTCTTATAATATTCCCTTCGGATTTCCACTAATTAAATAGCAAGAGAGGTTTGAGGTATTTTAATAATCTCAACCAAAAATATATTCCTTAACACTGAAGGAAAATAAGAAGAGGCATGCAATTGCTAACATGCATTTAATAATCTCAGTATGCAATACTGCTGCAACTATTATGATATGCATAATAACATTTATATATCATTTTATTTAAAATCTTAAAGAATTATTATCATGATGTGTTCTGTAATTTCATAGCAATGTTGTTTTAGACACAGAAAATGACAGATATCCTATCTGAGTCAAAAGGTCATAACATTTGAAACTGGGTCTCTTGTGAATAATTTGGCAAATAGGTTTCTATAAATATATGATGACATGTTACATGATATACAGTTTTATGGAATTTATAATTATATAAAAACTACATAGTCATTTGCCATATGTAATGTCATTGACATTTTTCTCTCCTTTCTAAAAGGAAATAATGCCTCTTTTCCAAGTCCAAATTGTAACCCTTTCACATGGATGTTTTTCCTGGTTTCATGTCCTAACTACACCTATGAGGTATGCTATTTAAGTTTGCAAATAACCAAATTTTACTTGATGATATACTAAATGCATGTGTTTATGTATTTACATGTGTATAGTATATATACATGATTATGCATATATATATTTTATCTGTAGATATTTGATATAGAGATATAGATGATGATATTGATTTTAGTTCAAGTTATAGGTATAGGAAATTGGAACATTTCAACAATAATTTTTCCTGCAGAAAAAGGAATATTTGTGCACATATTCATCTATTTTAAAGGCCTTGAGATGTTTCAGGATTTTATTTTTTATCAAAGTTTTTGGAACAATATCTTCCATTTTCTTATGAATTGATACTTTTTTATGGGATTGCTTATGACTTCATTATATTTAATAATGAAATTATTACTTTAGAGAAATTTGCTTCTACTTACAATTTTTCTATTATTTTAAGCTTTCACATTACCTACTTATGCCACAAGTGAACAAAGTACTAGATGAACTATAGATATTTGTTCATTTCTGTTTTAATCTAACAGATTGGATCATGGATTAGTTTCACAGTCATGACACAAACCCTGCCAGGTAAGACCTAGATTTATTCACAACTAATTGAAGTAAATGCATCCTTAGGAGAAGTGGTTTATGAGAACAAGTTGCTATAGTACTAAAGTTTGGCATGTTTGTAAAGGGACCTTATGCTTTCAGTTTTAATTTATTTTGGATTTTTAGGCAGAATTAAAATACATCAGAACATTATTTATTATGTATTTCTATGTAATTGTGGCTTAATCCAGGCTAGAAAACACAGTCCAAATACATTTATTAAGCAACAAGTTTTTGTTAAAAAGTAGTAATGCTATAATGCACTTCACATGCAACTCTCTAAATTGCAATGTACTGCATGTAGTAAAAGGGATATGTGCTATATCCATTTCATCCATTCTTTGTTCCACTGCACAAAAATTTAAATCATAATTAAAGTGTCTTATGCATGTATGCGGATGAGTGTAGAGGTATATTAAATGCATATAGAAAACTGATATTGAAAAATTCAGAGATAAAAATGTTCCTTATTTGGAAGTATTTTGTTGCAGTGGGATATAAAAACTATGGAATTATTTTGATCTCTGCTATGAACTTTTTATATTTATTCAACCATGAAACAAGCGTTGATTGAACATATAATATGCTAGGGAATGAATACGAGAACTACACAAAATTTGAGAACTGTTTAGAGATCTGTATGTGATAGATTTTTCTAATATAACTTGCTATATCCATCACAGAAATAAGAAAGGATAATTATTTCTTTTTTCTTCTAGTTGGGATTTTTACACTTCTGATGAGTATCCAGATGTCTTTGTGGGCACAAAAGAAACATAAGATTTATTTGAAGAAATTCAGTTCTTATATGCACAGGAAATCAGCAATGATTCCATTCATATTGTAAGAAAAACATCTCATACATAAAAGCAGTATATAAACTTACTAAATGAGACTTGGTAAAAGTTGGTTGACTATTACGTTCCATAAATTTACAACAGTATTTTTACTCAGTAAAAATACAAAATGGTAGAATCCACTTATATTTAGAGTAATAAACTTGAAGCAAATGAAAAGTAGAAATTATATGTATGATTAATGAAAAATAGCACTTTTGCAAGGGATTGGTCCTTGAATAAGATTTTCGTACTTCATTAAATATTTCACAATAGTATTTGCATAAGACAATTAAAATATCTGGATTCTAAAGTAAGTATTTTTAAAAGTTGGGACATTAAATCACTTGAATTTTGTACATTATTTTGATGGTAATTTAATTTTTCCTTTATTGTTCACTATTGAGAAGTAGCAAGTATGTTTTTGTTTCAATTTCTTGTGAAAATTCTACCTATATTAAAAGTGAAGTACTTGTAATCAGCACATAAACTACCTTTATATATAAACATATATATATATATATATATATATAGAGAGAGAGAGAGAGAGAGAGAGAAATACATATATTTCAAATGGATTATATGTTATGACAAAGAGAGTGTGCATTGGAGTTTTGAGATTCAGAATAGAGAGAGAGAGAGAGAGAGAGAGAAATACATATATTTCAAATGGATTATATGTTATGACAAAGAGAGTGTGCATTGGAGTTTTGAGATTCAGAATGCAAAGATTTTTTGCTTTATTTTTATATGTTTGAACTCCTATATCCCCTAAAACCTATGCATGTGTGTGTGTGTGTGAATAAGCATATATATTTTGAGAGGATAACTGATACTACAAAAATCAAATGCATATAAGTTAAATATTTAAAAGAAATTCTCAGTTTCTTTATTTTTAAATAGTGATTCTTTAGAGTGGTTAATTGTTAGAGAATTTCCAATTCTCAGATCTATCTATCTATGTAAATATCCTCATTAAAGCTCTTGCATTATATACGTATTTGACAAAATATCCTTTGTAAAGTCAATATGCATTTTGTGGGTATTATTGATATACATAGTTTATTACTAATATATTCAAGAAATAACAAAAACACAACTTTAAAGCTTTGTTATCATTGCCAATTGTGTAGTATTAAAATATCTCAGAGGAAGGCAAATTTTAATTTCCTGATGCCCATTCAGCAAAATAGCATGGAATCATGCAGAAGTCTTAAAAGGAGGTGCTATTTCATTAAACACATATACCTAATACATATTTATGGAATCACCTCTGTAACAATTCCTTTGTTGAAAGAATAGTTTATGTTTTCTTAACTGGATCATGATAGAGGCCAACCCAGGAGTCTTCACATTCTTTCAGGACTAGAAAGAGATCTTTGATGTAGCAAGGAAGGATGGGATACATAGAGGAGAGCCATTTCTTGTCCCCTTGTGCAACATCCCTTTTCCCAGCTCCTTCGTATCTGTCTCATATCAATCATTTATTACGATTGAAGGACATACCATAGTTAATGGGTATCCCAATTATGAAATTAAAAAAAAAATTATTTAGTACTCATTTTTTCTTCCTGAGGGTCTCATTGCTTAAGACATCAAAAGAGATACCCTGATAAACTTATTTGATTGTATTATCAATATTAATGCTGCACGTATACTCCTATAACAGCCTTACATTCATGTTCAACCTTTAAAATCTAATTTTCGTTTATAGATTTTAGGGGTCACCATACCTAAGTATGTATTTGTGAATGTGCACACACACACACACACATCATTTATGTGATTTCTTATATTTTCTTATATATTTCTTATTCTTCTTGTTCATCTGTGTAGCTAAGGCTACTGCTGATAATTTATTTACTCCTATTGCTTTGAATAGGAGTAAATAATTCTCGATTCTGATATGTAAATAGAGTCACTCTTTAAAAACTATAATGAACTCTAGCTGAATGCATGTTATAAAAACTATATAAATAATGAATTTGCATTGCTGGTTAAGGATTTGTATATCTTTTAATGCAAAACACATCTATATGAGGGTCTCAGAAATTCACTTATATGTTCCTTTGACGCATGTCCAGGTAACATAATTTCACATAACTCAATTTCTGCCTATGGAACTTTTTCAGAAGCAACATTCAACATTTTATAGATTAGTTTTAGGTGTCTTGATTTTATTTACTAGTTTGTGTATTGAAAAGGGAGATGTTGCTGGAAATGGTTCAGAAAAGTGAACATTTTAATATAAAGTTAAATCCAAAAATAAAATAAATATGAAAGATTTTTAAGGTCTATATTATAATTTGATCATATTGACAGAAAACAGTGAAAAATATTAACAAAAATTTCAAGTCCACAACACATACACACACACACACACACACACACACACACACACACACACACACATATATATGTACTTAATAATATGTTTCTCTTAAGTATTATAAAAGTTTACCAAAATGTATATTTAACCTTGTTAGGAAAACATATCCCTGATTTCATTTTGAGGCCCCTCCAGTATTGACAAATACAAACACATAGAAGCAACAAGCCCTACAACTTTTGCATCCACTTTTTTGTTACTCTTTGTCCCTTTGTCCAAATTCTGTGAGTGAAGATGCTTAAAACTGCTGTGTTGAGGCTATTCCACTTACTGTCATGATAGCATCAAGTACATGAATTATTTCTGCTATCATAAAAATGGAACTGTGAGTTTGCAGTGTGGACTTCAATATCTAATACTTGGTTTTATCTGTTTAGTTTCCTTTTATATCAAAGAAGGCTGTAAGATTTGTCACTAAATGACAAGAATAATAATTATTCTGAGCAGTAGTTTAGAAGTCACATTTTTTGTTCCTAAAGTCTTAGTGGTGAGTGGATATGATGCCTCAGCAAATGGGAAAGTGTACAATTGAGAAGATCAAGCAGCTAAAAGTTTATTAAGAGAAAGACTGAAAAGAAAAAACCCGTTGTAGGGACATAATGTCCTGGCTTTTATTTCTATGTTTGAAAGTCAGAACATGTAAAATCAATATTTGCTATGCTTAATTGACATAGCAATAGAATATTGCCTATCAGCCCTTCATGATTAATGAAAAGAACATTAAAATAGCATCCTGAGTTATATTTTCACTATCATTCTGAAGTGGTACATAATTTTTTTCTAATAAATATTGTCCATTTTCTGACTTAAGACATCTGGAGCAAAATTATGGAATACCTTAAACACATAATTATTTGTTTACATAATATGCTTCATAATGCTATATTCCCCCAAAGTGTGAGTATTGTCATTTTATGAATAAGATACCCTTACATCTTCAAATTCTAAAATTCTTGTGTGTTTTCAACAATTGTAGTTTTCATGTCAAGGCAAAGATTATGATGATATTAGCAATTCATAAATTCCATGCTTTAGTAGAAAAAGTCAAATAGGCTTTATTTTTTAATTTGAATGAGTTGGGTATATACGTGGTATCTTCATAAAAGTGATATGGGGCTGGTCAAGAAGTTTGTAGTTTAGGAAAGGGACAAGTTTAATGCTATCATTAGCTGTATCACCTGGTAAAATGTCCTTAGATGGTGTTACTTCACATCCAAATTTTCATACTCCATTTTACTGAGGAACTAGTTCAAGGAATTAAATGTCAGGTGTAGGCAATCAGTAGGTGAAGAGGAAAGGGAATAATGCAGCCTCTGCTTTTTAGATTGCTTATTTAGGAGACAACATAACTAATAAAAATTAAAAACAATCTTAGCAGAGTTAATTGAAATCATATAATACATATATTGAAAGTAATACTGTTTTCTCTATGTTTTTGCTCTTCTATTTCTTGTGTTACATGTGATATAAAGGAACAGACAATACCTCAGTGTCTGGTAAATGCTTCTGAAAATTAAGAAATTGTAAATCTGATTCACATAATCAGTCTTCTCTCAGGCCATTTCTCTTTTTAATACCTTAGAATGCATTTGTTCTCCATTTCTATCACTTTTGCGAAACATACTATTTATAAAAACAAAATAAAAACCCAAGAAAGACTAAAAACTAGAAATATACCATTACCGGTATTCCAAATCTTCTGAGAAATGCATAGATACATATATGAATTCATGTCCAATGAGATCTTCATAGATTAAGTTTTATATTAAGTTTACTTGGTATTTAGTAACTTTCTTCTACATATCTAGAGTTGAATCCGTTTTAGAGGTCTTCAGGGGGATGAAATTACTCAAACAGTTTGGGGAGACCAGTTTGGGGAAAGAATTTCAAATAAACTTGTTCCCTATCAAAGTAAAACTTACTATGTCTTTACTAATAAAGGCCCTATTCCAAACAAATGCTGGAAGTAATCTGAAGCAGGCATGGAAAAATATAATCACAGATCTCAGCTTGTACCACCAGATCATCTAATGAAACAATTACGATCCCTCTGAAGCAACTGTTTTGCACCTTCCATTTGGAGTTTGTTAAGAATGTTAGCCTATATGTAGATATTTACAATCTATGAGCATAATTAAGCATACAAGATTCAATAAATTAATATCAGAATATTCTGACTGGTACTAGATGTATAATTACATATATTTTAAAAACATAATAGTTCATTTAATCTAATCTTTAATAGCTACTTTAAAAATTGCCAGAAATACTCCTTTTTCTAACCCAAAGTAAACATTTGCAAACAGTGTCTTTAAAATATCTTCATCTTTTGTGCAACTCTTATGAAAAGTATATGGAAAGGAAAAAAATCAAAAGAAAAATAACAAAACACAAAAGTGTAATCAACCACCATGCCCCCCTTGTATTATCACAACTTAATGTCTCTCTTCCCAGCTCCTTCATCATTTCCATGGCAAGCTACTATTTTAAAGGTGTTCTGGGTTTGTTACATGGGCCTTAAAAAGTTTTTTGGCTAAGTTTGAACATAAACAGAACTGTAGTACATTTTGTCTTTCAGAAAAATTTTGTGAAAACAAAAGAATCTCTGACTCATGTGCAGACCCCCTACTCCCCACATACAAAGGGCAATTTTAAGCAGTACAGTTTCTTAGAAGAGCCAATAAAAATATGATAGTATCATATTTTTAAAATAAATAAAATATATTCTTATTTTTCAAATGTACATGTTCAGTCTTCTCTATTAAAATGTTATGCTTAATATCCAAGTATAATCAAATCATAAAAGTCAACAGTATAGTTTAATATCTTGTAAATTGACCTTTATTCTTCTTCCAGAAATTAAACATATTTTCAAGATACTTTAAGTAGTTAGTATTCAGTACACATTAAATTTTAGCAGTTGGTGTACTTGAAGTGTAACATTTGTGCTCATAAGATAAAAGGCCCGTGAATCAATTATAAGGTTTCCTTCAATTTTTATTTTAACAAAAAAAGGAGGAAAACTCTTGTGGTTGCTCCTGGATATTAAAGGTGATTATAGCAAATGTTACTTTATAAGTACAATTAAAGGCATTTATGCAGCTTTTGCATAATGATAATAATTAAAAAGCGTTTATTTTAAAGGCTGCTTAGAAG